GTGTTTCCTGACGGACACACACAGCGTGACTCCGGTCAGGTAGAGACCGGTCTCAAGTCAGCACCACTGCAGACTCGCTGTTTGAGGGCTTGATAGCCCACTCCCCCTCCACACCGCTCCACACTCATTGGTTTGAAACAGCCCTCAATATGGCGGACCCTCCGCGTGAACGCGCAAACGGAGGGGTAGGATGTAGGGTGCAGGGGGCGGTTTGGGAATGGGCCGTACTGTGGGTCCACCATCCGAAATTACGTCATATCGCCAGCAAATCTGTATCCGCTCGTACCCCCGTTTTAAAAAGATTTGGGTACGGAGGAAAAGAGAAAGGGTTTTATTTTCTGACGCTGCGTGAGTTCCCCGACACACCGGGGACACATATTGATGTATAATTATTTTCTACTGTTGATATGTATTTAGTGTTCAGCCATTTTCTTTCTAACTCGAGTGTAATGCCTGTTCACATTCTGCCCTGACAAAAATAAGAAATCCCAATTTGGACTAATAAAGTTGAACTAATCTAACCTAATCAAAATGTATATAATACAATACAGAATGTAATTATAATATAACACAATATAACACAATTTACTATAAACATAATAATACAAATCAGAGACAATATATTAAAAAAGGGGTTTCACCTGGATTTAAAAGAAGTAAGAGTTGCAGTTTTCAGGGAGCAAAATATAAATATATCCGCATAATAACAAGAAACTGCTCGTCCATGTTTGGTTTTACTCTGTGGACAAAAAGTATGGTTGTATGGTTTATGCAGCAAAAAATCTATATGTTTGTCCGTGAAACACTACAAATATAATGTGTTGTTAGCAACTGATAATACATCTTTTGACAGAGCTAAGCTAACACTTAGAGTAACAGCTGCCAGACACTCTGTAATGGATTTGCGGAAATTAAATTATTATCGATCTTCTGGTGCAAATCTGTTTAAGACGGCAGACGAGGAGTAGTCCTTTAATACAATCAGCTGTGATGCTTCCACTGATGTCTGCAGAAGATCTAAGAGTGTTCTCTGCATGCAGGGTTCGAGTTATGTGGGAGCTGAGCTCCCATAAGGCGGGGTCTGAGGAGCTCCCATAAGGCGGGGTCTGAGGAGCTCCCACGGACGCAGTGAAATCATATATCTGTCAGTGGCGGCGCTAGGGGGTGGCTACTTGTGCTCAAGCCTCGGATGTTTTCTGAAAAGCCCCGGATGTTTCACAACATTTTTCTTTTAAAATGTGGGAGTAACGTGCAGCACCGGAGTCCACCAGAGAGGCAGCCGCTGCGGGACATTAGCCTGCGTACTGCTTAGCCTTCCCTGCCCTGAAGAAGAAGTGATCCTTCCTAGTGCCTGACGAGTTTTAAGCTAATAGCCTATAAAGTTATGGATATTAGAAAGCCACAAGCTGCAGCAGCAGTATCAGCAGCTTACAACAATGTCATCACCAGCAGTGAAGAAATGGATGATGTTTCAGTTTTGCGAATCTAATGGTGATATCTGCACTCTGGCTGACTGAGTAAGAAGTGAAAAAGAGTGATGTAACGTTAATGTTATAGCTAGTAAACATGGAGTAACCACACTAAGTATTTCCTTATATGTTAGTAAGTATACAGAACATGACTAAAAATGATCCTAAGATGTAGCATTAACCCTTCATACCTCAGTCTACTTTTAAGACACTAAAATAACGTATTCCAATTTTTATTTTGTTTTCACGCGTGGAATTATACCGGCTCTCGTTTCAGTACACATAACAACGGAACCATAGCAACGGAACTGACAAGGCAACGGAACTGACAGCAACAGTCAGAAACGTGACTCTTACG